TCTTTCAGAAAATAGGTCATGTTGATCCTCAGATTGTCAGCTATCACTCACTCACTCACTGTCCATGCTTCTCATGTATGCGCAAATGATAGATCTGTCTGTTTGAAGAGGGTGCGCAGAAATACACATTTAAATTTGTTGAGTGACAGTTTAAGTTAACTGTTGTAATTGAGTTACTTATTGGCTGGATGATTTTTAATTGGATGAACATTTTTTAGTATCATGCCTTACCCAGAATATAAAAATACAAATAAACATACTTAGATCATTTACTTTAATTATTACGATCAGAATGTGAAGAGACTTTTAACCAGCACAAAAAAATAAAAATTTCTAAAGACAATATCCTACTGTACCTTTACCTAAATAATTAGCCTCTTCTGTTTTTTCCTTCCTCTCCATTTATCCTTTTATGTTTATTTTCTTCATTACATTATGTTATTGTGTTTGGAATCAGGGATAATTAAATTAAATATTTTAAATAATTTAAATAAATGTAAAAAATATAATATATATATATATATATATATATATATATATATATATATATATATATATATATATATATATATATATATATATATATATATATATATATATATATATATATATATATATTTGAACAGTATAATAAGCTAATTTGCATATCTGCAGTGCTACAAAACTATTCCCCTGAAGTAAATGATTATATTGGTTATTATATGGTTGCACTTTACTATAAGGCATTTGTACAGCATTTATTAATTATAGTTCAACATTTACTAATGTATTATTATCATGCAAATTCATGCTTGTTAACATTAGTTAATGCACTGTGAGTCAAAAAACCAACGGACAACTGTAATTTCATAAACAATAGCGTTAACTAACATAAACAAATACTGTAATTAATATATTTTTTGTTCATGTTTATAAAGTCATTAACTAACACAAACAAATGCAACTTAAATTTGTGTGTGTGTGTGTGTGCGTGCATGCGTGCTTGTGTGTGTATTTGTATATTTATTTTTACATAGTCTGCATTTTTCTGAAATTGTACAGTACATTTGAGAAAGGAATTATGAAATACATTTTGGATTTATAAAAGCAGTTCACATAAACCAGCTTGTTTATAGTTCTATCCTTCAAACGGGAGTTAAAGGACTAAACTCTTTCCCTAAATTAAATGGTTATGCTGATTATGTTTTTAAAATATTTATTTATAGTTTGGATATTTTTAATTTATAATAATTGAACAGAATCAAGCCTATTGCATGTGTGTTTGCATTTGTTTGTTTATTTTGTTGCATGAGGGAAGTTGAAATTTGGCACACAGTTTCTTTGGTGCAAGTAGTGCAAATCTTAAAGCCAAATTTCACCAGTTTTAGGAAATGAGGGGGGCGCTATAACTTAAGAAAAAAAAAAATCTCTGAACTGAGATCAAATAACTTGATCCACAAAAATTGTATCCACATGATCTGTCCTTTCAGACTTTTGCTATTGCGGCCCAGTCTGCTTGGACACGAGTTGTTGCCACTTGTGGAAATATTTTAGAAGTAATTGCACAGATGTTGGCAAACGAGTACATATTAATACTGTCAGTAAGGTCTCAGATGGTGTGCGGTTTAGCCACAGCTACCAGCACACAAAAACCACACATAACAGGCCACTATAAATCCCCTTTACGTAGACACACACACGCCACAAAGCCACGGCAAAGGAAAACTTTAGCTAGTCGCCTGCTGCTCTCTTTCTCTTTTTCTCTGTAGAACTATACACTATAGCCCTTTGGATGGCAGTTGTTTGTCTTGGGGACCTAAAAGGTCCTTATAGCTTATCAGAAAGTGAAAAGAAAAACTTAAAACATTTGCAGTGGATGTTTGAGTTTGTAATGAGGTTAAATATTTAATTCACAAGATTTCTAGAATTAATAAAACTCAGTTAATGTAGACTAATGGACATGTTGGTTTGAAATTTTGGATGCAATTTTAAATACATAGGAATTATAAGGAAAGGATCTAACGCAAACTCTCAAAATAAAATGGTTCATATGGTATTGCAAATAATGTACTGTAATAATATATATATAGAAAAATCTATAAAAAAACAGAAAATGTACTGAAAGTTTTTTACAAGGTTTCTATAACATAATTAAACACCAACCCAGACAATGTATCACTTTAAAATATTAAAAATGTTAAAAAAAGTCATCTTTTCAAACTTTTTAAGGTTAGAAGTTGTCGGAAGATCAAAGACCCATAATGCAAATTAAAAGCAATTTTTTATTTTTTTTTCAAAAAACATGAATCACAAAATGCGGACAACTGCTAATTTATGGATATTTTTTACAGTGCAGGTAGTGAGAGAAAAAGACAGATGTTTTTTTTTTTTTATTCGGACAGGAATAAAATCTCCAGCCATCTTGAAAATAAAAAAAAAACATCCAAATAGGATGTTTATAGCCAAATATGATTATTTTTAATGTTTGTATTGCACAATGATTGCTACAGTAAAGTACTTGAAAGTCAGTTAAATTACAAATATATTACTAGAAATTGACTTTGGTTTAAGTAAAAGTCACTGTTTTGAATATTGTATTGAAGCCTGTATGAAAGCACTGATTACTATACGGTTCTATACCACCTTAAAGGATATATTATCCAATTGATGTCCAAAGAATAGGAGAAGAGTAAAGAGGTCATACACAAATTATTTTGTTCAAACAATGTATCAATTTCTTTATGATTAGTGTGTAAACATAATCATCACAATACAAATCAAATAAAATAGCGTAGGCCCACGTAAATGAAAACAATTATCATATAAGATGACAATAATTACAGTACTGTAAGGTTGTAATATAGTGGGGAAATAAATCCCAATAGTTTCAGAGGACTTATAAACAGAAAGGTCCAGCGATCACTTGTAATATGGTGAAATAAGTCCCAATAGTTTCACAGAAAAATCCACCTCATAAACAGAAGGTCCAGCGATCACTTCAGCAGTCGATCAATAGTAGTGATGTCATCAGCCAGTGTGCAACATTTGCCGGGATCTTCATTTGCAATGAATGTATAATGTATAATGAGTGATTGTGTAAAAGCAAGTGATCAGATTAAGTTAAATGTTGCTGTAAATGTTCATGCAGTAGCGTGTGATTTTGTATGTATGTGTGTGGTTGTTTCTTCAATGACGCACATCATAAAGTTCTGTCAAACTCTGAAGTAATCACACCACATCTTCCTGTCATCTGATAGGATTCAGTCAAACTGCCTTCTCTGAGGATGCTGTGATTGCAATCCTAACAGTTTGTTGGCTTTAACTCTCGAAACTGGCGACTGAGCATCACGATGCGCACCTGCCTTTCTCTCTGTTCCTCTTTCATTACTGTGTCGAACACTTTCACTTTATTCATTAAACTCGCGAGCGGACCTTTTAACCACGCCCACATAATAACAAAACAGGTAAAGACTAAATGTACAGTTAGAAAACAAAATAATTAAACAATCTTTTGTACAAATATCACTTGAGTAAAAGTTTTAAAGAATCTGATATTTATCATTTTTAGCTTAACTTAAATTTTTACTATTAAATAAGGAAAGTAGAAGTACATGTAAATGCTGTAAATAAAATAAAAGCTTAATCTTTTTTAATATAACAATGTCAAAAGCCAATAAATATTTACATTTTTTTTTGTTTCAGCGTGTAGCATTATTCTGCTCAGTTTTTACACTCAAAAAAACAAAAAACAAACCTTGGATTAACTGAATTTAATTGAGGGCAGGATTTCCATCCAATAAGTTTGTTTTGCACCAACTAAATAAAACAATTTACACAATTAAATGCAATTGACTTGGTCCAACATGATTTTATCAAATAAAAGTTTAAATACTTTGTATTTTTATTTAACTTAAACTGAAATGACTGATAATATCATGTATGTTCATTATGTGTTGTACCTTTCAAAGTCTTTTTGTTTTATTTGAAGTTATCCAAAATAAACTAAAATAGCCATTTTTAAGCATATTTCATGAGTTACATATACAATAAATTACGACTGATCTCAGAACTCAGAAGACAGTTATTGCTGACTGAGCAAAGCCATAAACTGCATTTTTGCTAATTAAGCTGCAAACACCTAAAGGATGGCTGCTTCTAAAAGGTGGTCATCTCAAAACTCAAAGCATTACATGAAACTCTTCTAAACCTCCAAACTAAAATGAAGAATAAACTTTAACAAGTCTTTCTATTAACTTTAAACACTTAAGATTACTTGTTTTGTCAACATTTTCCTTTCTTAATACATCCCACCCAAAGCATGTTGGGAACTACAAAAGCCCATAACCAGGTAGTTGGACCAACACAATTCCTTCAAGTTATCCCAATCCAAAACTCTTAAGTTAACTTAATGATTTACAAATGTAAGAGGACTGAACATAAAACAAAAGAATTGACCAAAGAAATTACAAGAATTGTGTTGTTTCTGCTCATTGTAAACAGGTTGAACAAGCAGCACTAATCATTTAGTCACACTTTATTTTGATGGTCCGTGTGTTGAATTTAAGTTCAGTTGAATCTACTAGACAACTAATTCTCATTAGATTATACGTAGACTGGAAGGTTTGGATTAGGGTTACGATTAGTGTAAAGTTTGCAAAGTTTCTTATAGTCAGTTAAATGTCTGTTAAAGGAGCAGTATCAACAGATTGTAAGCAGACAGTCTATTAATATTCAAATGGACCATCAAAATAAAGTGTTACCAATCATTTTTTTTGAGTGTACATTAAGTTTTTGAATTTTTTTTTTATTAAAGCTAAAATGTTTGGTAGAATTGTTATAATTTATGAAAGAAATGTAGTCCAGTAAAAGTGAAATTTGCCAGAATAGTAAAAAGTACAGATATTCACAACAAATACTTAAGGGCTGTATAATTACTTCATTACATTACACCATTGCATGTGTCCTGGAAGTAATTAGCAATATGATGTTTTTGTTCTGAATTGTCCTGTTGTGTATTTTAGAGATAATCGATGACCTCGCTCAGCTTGTGGACAAGACGGACGGCCGCATCAAAAACGAGACAAAAAGAGTCAAGCTGTTGGATAGCAAGTCTGCTTCCTGTGGTGAGTTTTCTGCCTCTGTAGAGCCACTGGTTTAATGTACTCGACATCAGGAGCCCAGCAACAATAAGCCTGTCCATCGTTCAGATTTATGGCCATCTCTTTCTCTCTCTCTGTCACTTTTCTCCTCCCTGCTGCGTCTAGAGAAGTCTGCAGAAGTGAAGGGATTTAAAGCCACTGCCTGTAAATGGCAAAGTCAGATCTGAACATTATGGTCAGTCTCAGTGCTCTCACAGGCCCATCTGCATGTGATCTGTGAGTTTGTTATTGGAGCGGCACTAAAGGTGAGATCAGACTGAGACATTTAGAGAGGTCATTCACACAGATTTCTGGAAAGTTCTGCAAGACATTATTTTACATCCGAGCACTTCAGGGTACTTTCTTTTATGGCACCTTTTTTGTGTTAAAGGGATAATTCATCCCAAAAAATGTTTCCATCATTTACTTACCATTATGTTCTTTTGAATGTTAAGACTTTTTTTCAGATTTTAAAGAGTATCACACATGACCTTTTTTAGTATAATAAAGGGAAACGAGGACCAAGCTTGTCCAGCAACCTTGAGAAATACTCATCAGCTTTTATTGAAATTTGAACAAAAACGTTAGAATTGGCCAAGTTTATGAAGAATTTCGGGCTTGACTGTAAACACAGTGATGTGAAAATGTGTTTGTCCCTTACTGATCTCAATTTTAATTTATTTTTTGCATGTAAAGAACGTCACACATGCTCATTTTTTTAATAAGGGTGAAAAAGGGCATATATATATATATATATATATATATATATGTATATGTATATGTGTATATATATATATATATATATATATATATATATATATATATATATATATATATCCATATCCCACTTGAATTATTAGCCCCCTTGTTTATCCCCCCACCCACCCATTTTTGTTTAACGGAGAGAACATTTTTTTTAATACATTTCTAAGCATAATAGTTTTAATAACTAATTTCTAATAACTGATTTATTTAATCTTTGCCATGATGACAGCACATAATATTTTATTTTTATATTTATATTTACAGCTTAAAGTGACATTTAAAGGCTTAACTTGTTGATTAGGTTAACTAGGCAGGTAAGGGTAATCAGGCAACGTATTGTATAACGATGGTTTGTTCTGTAGACTCTGGAAAAAATATATAGCTTAAAGGTGATAATAATTTTTACCTTAAAATGGTTTTTAAAAAATAAAAACTGCTTTTATTTTTGCCGAAATAAAACAAATAAGACTTTTTCCAGAAGAAAAAATATTATCAGGCATACTGTGAAAATTTCCTTGCTCTGTTAAACACCATTTGGGAAAAAAGAAAAAAAAAATCTAAGGGTGGCTAATAATTCTGACTTCAACTGTATCATATCATTCAAAACTTTATCTATCATGTTTATGATCTGCCCCTCATCCTTTAATATTACTGATTGATTTATCAGATGATTTATCATAAGAGAAATATTAACAAAAAGATTTTCTTCATGGAGACCCATCTAAAAAAAACGACAATCAATAATTAATTTTGTATAAATACAAGTTTTAAACTGAAACATTGTACATGAAAGAGCAGGTTCTCTGTAACCTTTAAGACAAGCACGTCGCATCAGAAATGAATTTCACGTTGTACGCGTCACCATCGCATTTGTACGCATGACTTAAATTAATGCTTTTTGTCTCCCAAATGTATATAATGAAGAGAACAATAAAATAACGATATCAACCGGTTACCTGTAAATGTTTCTATTCAGAACGATTAAAGTTGATCTTGTTTTCAATTTTTTTTTTTTTTCTGTTGCTGCAAAATGTCATTCTTTTCCGTTTTTTGTTTACATTCCTTGGACCAGTTCAGAGCCCTGATTTTAAAATACTCTTAAACATACATGGTATGAGTATATGGGGACATTAGTTTGGTTGTATACCCTTGTAATTTGCAAAATAGTCTTAAAAAGCCAACTTGAAAAAGAATAAAAAATAGTGAATCGTGATTTCTCCAGAAAAAATCGTGATATGATATTTTTTCCATATCGCCCACCCCTAGTCAAAGTCTTGCTGTGGCATGACCTTAAAAAGGCAGTTCATGCTGGAAAATCCTCCAATGTGCTGAATTACAGCAATTCATGCACCAGAAGTGTTTTGCAAAACAATATGAACACAGTCAGTACATTGTATTTATATTCTGATGAAAGTACATACAGCGCTCCGCATAAATGAGTACACCGCTCACAGATCTCTTTTGAATAGTCTATAGTAAACAATGATGATGTTTTACAATGATGTATTTGAAACTAATTAATATGTTGAGTTTTTTAATAAATAGGAAACATTAAGAGGCATAAACAAAATAACATAAACATATATATATATATATATATATATATATATATATATATATATATATATATATATATATATATATATATATATTAGCTATAATCACTGAAAAATAGATAAAAATGTCCATTTTAAAATGGGCTGTACTTATTTATGTTGAGCACTGTAATGGTTAAGGCCACTTAATATGAAGTTGGACCCAAAAAGCCAGTAACTTCTTTTTATTTCAGTAATTTCTTTTTTTTTCACTTGTATTTGGGTCAATATTGCAGCTAAGCACAGTAAATGATGACAAAAATTTCATTTACGGTTGAACTATTCCTTTAATTGCATTTTCTGTGATGTGATAACTAACTACAGCCTCTCAGATTTCTGAAGTTCTGTGTAAGCCAACCATGTCTGGAGCACTTAAATCATTTCACATGTGGTAAATGCTGAAGCGTGTCTGCATACTCAAGCAGCAAACACAAAATATCTGTCTTCATCAAACTCTTCATTAAAGGAGCAGTTTCATCAAAACTTCTTTAATGTATAATTTTCAACTGATGTTCAACTAGTCCTGTTTTCCCAGAACAGTCCCATATTTATAATGTCCCAAAACTAACCTGTTTTTGTCTTGTATTTGATATTTCCTAAAATGTCTTCATTTCTAAACATTAGTAGCAGTCATTTTCGATTTCACACAGTATCAATATTTGAGTAATGCCTTACAGTAAGTTTCATTAGTTAACATAAACTAAGAAAGACCAATATTCTGTAGCATTTATTAACACTAGTTAGTCTAATACTGTATATGAACTAACAATTATCTGTATTTTCATTAAGTAAAGTTAATAAAGACAGAGGTTCCTTTTTCGTTAATGTTAGCTAATTTATATCATCTAATGCAATGTTATTGTAAAGTTTTATCAAAATTATTTTACAATAAATGCTGATGATGTGTTTATTAGATGTTAGAATGTTTAACTTTTTAAATTAAGACTCCACAAAATACATTTTATCCACTTGCCATTTTTGTTTTTGTTTCCCTGTTTTTGTTTTTATTTGTTTCTAAGACTTGAATTGAAAGATGGGGGTTTTATGGCCCTTTAAAAGTATAACAATTTGTCAGTCTTTTTTTATTTTTTATTAAATTATAAGTCTTTTAGAAAAAAAAAACGAATACATACGTACAACAATACATTTACATGGAAATGTAATTATTTTTTGTCAAATAAGATCCTAATATGATACAGCTTATTTCCCAACTTTAAATGTAAACTTTATATTTTAGAATGCTTTCTCTTTTAATAAAAGCACATTTTTGGTATGTAGTTATATATTAAAAAAAGTATTCTCTTTTCCTTTTTTGCTTAATTTTTACCCGTTCACAACATTCCTGTGCTATACAGAAAAGTAAGAGCAGCTACTAAATATCACATTCTTCTGCAGACAAAATAAAGTCATGCTTCTGCTGTTGTTCTCCATGGAAGGGAGTACATGGTAAGTAAATGTCTGCGTATTTAAAACTTTGGGTGGACTAACGAAGTAATACTGGTGTCTTTGGGTGAGGAGACATGATCAACCAGTCTACTCTCACTTCCAATCATTGTTTTGTTGTTCTTTATACACGCATGATAAACGTCAACTAGGACAATTGTCATTCTAGCTGTTGTTTAAACTGTTGTTGACACACCACCAGTATTTCTCTGTTTACATCAAGACAAATAAACACAGCGTTAGAAAACATGGAATTGATTATACATTCATTTTTCTAATAATCATTAACATGTGAAGAGTGTGAATATTTAAACTCGTGATTCTTCTATAGCGAGAGCCAGTTTGGCTGCATAAAGATGCGTCTTGAATTTTCTTGGGAAATAAATGCATTGCCACTTCTAGTCTGCTCCTCTAATGTGACGTATAATTGCATTTGTTTGTCCAGAGGACTCCACAGACTCAAGTTTGTTTGCGGATCCCAGAGTCACATTGATTGTCTTTCTGGCTCCTTTATTTCTCCAGGCCTCTTCTTCTCATTCCGCATCTGCTTTTAACACCTAACCATATTCATGTATTCTGTAAGGAGGGGGTGAAGGGAAGGGCTTGATGAATGGAAAAATTCCTCACTGCCTTGTCGTTCGTACCCCACTTTTTTTTTCTTCTTCTTTTCTTTCAACTTCTGTTCTCTGACTCACTTCACTCCTCACATTTCCCAAGATTGTTTGACACTTGTCTGTGTCTTGTGTAAAGAAATGGTTGAAAATGTAACATGCCACAGCACTTTTATGGTTTTTGATCACTCACTTCAACATCTATTTAGTATTTATCTGCTGTGGTGTTTTTTTTTTTTATGTTTAGTGTTCATGTTATGCTGTGTTTTTTTAAGAGTATGGTTACATGTAATATCAGATGTTTTGATTGATGGATCAATGACAAGACTTCACATTTTAGTGTCTGCTTTTAACAATTTAAAGTGTTTTATAAACATATGGAGAACATATTAAGTAGAAATGTCTAACTTATTTTAAATTTTTACAGCTAAAGTCAAAATTATTAGCCCTCTAGGGAATTTTGAATTCTTTTAAAAGTATTTCCCAAATGCTTTTTAATAAAGAGTTTTTTTTTTTTTCAGCACATTTTTAAACATAATAGTTTTAATAACTAATTTCTAGTATTTAACCC